TTCAGGATTGGGTGTTTCTCTTGCATTTTGGTGAGGATGGGGCAATAGGCAGCAAACATCAGCCAAAAATTAGATCACAGAGGAGGGACACCGAGGGCTGTCAGATTTGGGAACAAAAAGAGCAGGAGGGAAACGTCGCAGCATCAGCAGGAAGCAGTTGTGGGGAACAGAGACGGCAATGTAAGGAGCTGCATCAAGGCGATAAGAAAAGAGCAATAGTGATGCCAAAAAGCATGAAATGCACAATTTTCCCTCTGTGCCAGTGTCCCACACTGCCCCTGGAGCGTACAAGGTGTCCTTGGAGCAGGGCCTGGGGAAGGAGGGGTTCTGCACCAGGAGGTGCTGGCTCTTTACAATCCCAGTGAGGAAGGCACTCTGCTCTGTAAAGCGTCTTTGAAGATGCTCTTTGTTAGAGCCACTTGCCTCTACCACTTGTGCTCTTCCTAGAGGTTAAACCTGCCTTCATTCAAGACTTAAAAAGCTCAGTTTTCAGCCTAGGCCTAGCAGAGACTTTTCACTTCATTTTGGTTGATCATCTCAGTTTTAGCAGAAGAGCAGTTTGGAGACTTGCAGATTAAATTAGTGCTCAGAAACTTGTAGGAGCATCTGTGATTATTTTATGCATGATGCTGGCTCCCCAGAAATGTGGGGAGAAGCATTTGAATATAAACTCCCTCCAGGAAAAGGAGAAAAAAAAACTTCTTGCTGCCACACAAGTCTCTGCGGTGGGTAAAGGGCAGAACCTCCCCAGTCACTCAATTCATTAAGCCTGACAACAATTAATTACATTGAAATTAATGCGCAAATGTAATGTTTTACACATGTCAGAGACATGCCAGCAAAAGAGAGGGTCTTGCTGAGCCATCTTTAATTGTTTTCATTGTTGATTTAACCCAAGACGATAAGGAACCAGCCTAGTTTGGGCTCTCCATTTGCAGGTCCCCGCGAGTGTTGCAGCTCTGCAGTGACTAATTCACTTTGTTTCCAGATCAAAGGGGACAAACAAGTTTGTTTTAAAGCTTGGCCCAAGGCCCCTGGCTCTATGGCAGAGCCACCCTACAAGCAGCTGCCAGCACCTTCCAACATCCCACTTTGCATGTGTGCTCCTCACACCCTGGCCTGAGGGGCACGGCAGGGACCCGGCAGAGCTTTGGGAAGGGAAAACCTCCTGCAGATCAGTCGGAGCTCTGGCTAAGCAGGGGCTGGAGGCAAACTCTGTGGAAACACTGGCTGCTGAGTATTCCCAGTGGTTTGGGAGGAGCAGAGGTGAGGAAGTCAAACCAGCAGAGAGAAGAGAAAATGCCAAGAAAAGAAAGAGGAGGGGGACAGGGTTAGCGTTGGAGATCTCACACGACTGAGAAGAGGCAGCTGTACCTGGAAAGTACATCAGTGGTGCTTGCAGTGACTGAAGAGCATGATTTCACAGAATCAAAACTTCACAGAATATTCTGAGTTGGAAGGGACCCACAAGGATCATCAAGTCCAGCTCTTTAAGTGCATGGCCCATACAGGGATCAAATAACAACCTAGGTGTTCTTAGAACCGTGCTCTAACCACTGAGCTCTTCCTGTCCATCCTCCTTTGAGAAAAACAAGCACACACGTTCATTTTCAAATTACCTCTTAGTGTGGAGAGGACTTGAAAATGTCACCTGTGTGATAAAATGGCTCTGCTGTATTTCCTGCTCTATGACTTGGCCACTTGATGCTGAAGAGCTGCTTTTGATGTCAGTGAACACGACAGAGCCCTGAGCCTGCAGAGCAGGGACCTGCAAGCACCCTGGGGCATGTGGGCTCTGGGAGATGGAGCTGCTGCACTCAGGGTGGGGTTTGCATGTGCAGAGCACAACTCCAGCACTGCCTGGGACATCAAACAAGGTGAAACCACAGGCAGCCCCCTCTGAGGGAACTCACTCTGTGGTCACCCCGCTGAACAAGTCAGCCCAGGGCCCCAGCACAGTGGTGGTTTTGTTCTTGTGGCCACACCTGGTTGAGAACAACTGAAGTGAACCCTCCGAGCACATGGCAGATGGGAAGAATTTGCAGGTACTTCTTACCCAAGCCAACTCCTGCAGTGTTTGCAAAAAAAACAACAACCCAAGAGTAAAGTCAGTTGAAGCTTAAACTGTGTCTGAGGCCAAGCAGTGAGGTTGTCACAGAGTCTAGTGTCCCATGCCACCACTGCTCCCTGTGCCCAGAGAACTGCAGAGCCAATGTCAAAAAATAATCTCACCCTATAAGCCTGACCACCTCATCAAGCCTGAACCCTACAGTTTGCTTCAAAGCTCACCAGTGCCTTTTGCTGAAGAAAGGATAATCTTTACAGGACTCCTTCCTCGATCCCCCTTCCCTCCTGGAATATTCTGTATTTTGAAGTCATTATAAAACCTGAGCAAAACACAGGGGATCTTGTTCTTCGGAGTGTTGCTCTGGGAGCAGCTCTGTAGAGTTGGTGCAAAGCCGTGAAAAACACGGAACGCTCCCATTTCGCACTCACTTGGTGTGACTGTAAACAACCACAGAGCGATGGAAAATCCCAGAGCAGCATGAAGGACTTCACTGGCCTTCCAGGGATTCAGCAGAAAGGCTGTTATTTATAAATCTGGAAGCGAAGCTTTAGGGATGCAAAGTTCTCACTCACACGGTGCTGGACAGGAGGGTTTACCAGTGCAAGCTTTCAGGACTCTAAGAAGAATTACACAGTTATAGTCGCAAGCACCAGTGTGAAAATATTGTCACTGAGCGTGTAATTCTGTGCATGGGGCTCAGGACCCCTCTCTAACAGACCAGAGTGTGAATCAGTTGTAAGGAAAACTCTGTAGCACTCAGGGCTTAGTAGGATCGCTGCAGTCATACACTTGGCCCAGAGATAAAATACAACTGCGTTTCATCTGGTACTGGTGACAATTTTCAGATGTTCCTTCCATGCAGCGTGCAGTCACTGGGGCACGAGCCAGGGGCTCAAAGGCTGCCTCGCTTTTCCCATTCCCCCTCAATTCTCCTTTATTTGGAAGAAATCCTCTGATTGCTCCGTGACTGTTTCCGTGTCCCTGTGATGGAGATCTCACCTGCTTCCCTCTGCAGAGCCATCCACTCTGGGCCTCAGTCAGTGTCACTTAAAAGGAATGTGCCCCTCATTTCCAAGGAGCAGGATCAGGCTTAAGAGCAATATAAAGCCTTGGACAGACTTCAATTAACACATGCAGTAACATTCCCAGATCTCAGAGTGGCCTCTGGTAAAATGTGTGCGTGTGTCTGATCTTGTGGGTCTCAGGATAAGCTGTGCACCTTTGGAGAGCTTGTCCAGCTCCCAAGCAGTTTTATTGGTATAAATCTGCAGTAATTTAACAATTGTAGAGTGTATTTGAGATTAATTGACAGAAGGAGAAAAACCGAGTATCTTGCAGTGAAAACGGTGAGTTCTGAAGTGGAAGATGCATGCTGGAAAGTGTCATCATTTAACCTCAAAAATTAATATGGTTTAATTATTTTAAATTTTTTATATTTTTTTTTTATTTATTTTTTTTTTTTTGGTGGGGAAGTTTTACTGCTGCTTGCAAGCAGAAAATGTGTCAGTTATCAACGAGACCCTTATTTATTTTCTGACCCCTCAGAAGCTGCAATCTACATTAACCTTCCACCTTCGAGTGGAGAGAAACAGTGGTTTGGAAAAAAAAAAATAGGAGCAAAGAAAAAAAAAAAAAAAGGAGAATTTTTCCTTGGCGGCATGTAAGGGAAAGGAAAAAAAAATCTTTTATTCTAAAATTATCAACAGGTATTTTCCATCGAAATTCGCGGGGGGAGAGGGGGAATAACGAAGGCGAGCGAACGCCCGGTGTGAGGTGAGGGGGAGGCGGGAAGGCGGCGGCGCGCGGGCCGCCCTGAGGGACGGCCGGGGCGCTCCGGGCTGGCGAGGAGGGCCGCCGCCCGCCGCGGGCACAGCCCGGTGGAAAAAAAGAAAAAAAGCGAACTTGTGCCAAAACTTTCCGAAGTTAATTAAAACAGCCCCCCCGCGCCGCCGCCGCCGCCGGGGCTCCGCCGCCGCCCGCCCGCCCGCCCGCCCCGCTCCCTCCCGGCGGCTCCTGAGGGAGCTCCATTGTCTGTGAGGATGGCCGCGCACCCCCGCCGCGCCCCCGCCCGCCGCGCCCCCGCCCTCCGCGCCGCCGTGCGCGGGGCGCCGGGCGGCCGCGGCGGGGTGGCTGCCGGCTCTCCCCAAAGTTTTTGGATCCGCGTCTCCTCATGATGTATGGATGATATATTGCATTGTGGGTGTCAATATAACTGACGGCCATATTTGCCGGTGCTGCTACTGCTGTAAACAACCCAAAGTGTCTGGGAGACACGGAGACGCTTCGCTGAATTTCAGGACGCTTCTCCTCCTCCCGCTGGCCATGTCTCTGGGAATGTCTTACAAGCCCAACTTGAACGCCCACATCCCCGGGACTCCCCTCAACCCGGGTAAGTCCGCGGCGGCAACTGGGTGGCAAGTTTGGGGAGGCGAGCGGCGGGTGCCGCACCGGCACCTGGGGGAAGCCCCGGACTCGAGTTTGTGCCCAGTCCGGTATGGCGGGGCAGCGGCTCCTCCGCGCCGCCATTACCCGCGCCCGCCCGCCCCGCCGGCCGGCGCCGCCAGCCCCGCACCGCGCCCGCCCCCGCGCCGGGCACCGCGCCCGCCCGGCCCCGCGCCGCCGCCACCGCCGCCGCTCCGGGGCTCCGGCCGCCGGGTTTCCTCCATGCTCGGCTCCCCGGGGCGGCTGATTGATCTGGATCAGGAATATTCCGGCGGCGCCTCAGCGAGGACCGCTGCTGGCGGGACGCCGCAAGTGCGGCCGCTCTCCCCGCGCCTCAGCCTCGCCTCACGCCTCCTCAGCGCCGGGGCCGCCCCGGGGCTGCGCTCCGCAGGGCCGAGGGGTCGCCGCGGACCGCGGAGCTCCGCCGGAGGCACCGGCACTGCCTCGGGGAGACCCCCGGCCCCGCTCCCCGCTCGGAGTCTCCCCCTCATCCCGGGCGGAGAAGCCCCTGTCCGCTCGCTGGAGATTTGGGGATGGGGAAGGAGGGGGGATGTGGTGCACACGGGAATCGCACTGTTTCTTAAAAAACTCCTTTTTCAAAATCACTCCCTCATCCTTGGATCTGTACGGGAGCTATTACAACTCTACTCTCTAAAAAGTTTCCTTGACAGCGTTAACTTTTTGTCTTTATTATTTTTTTTTTGGCTCCATCCCCGCGTTTCTCCCTTCCCTCCGCGGTTTCCGAAGGCACCGGCCGGGGGTTTTTGCCGGTGCCGAGGTGTTGTCGTACCTCGGGTCCCCGTGTGCGAGTCGGTGCAGCCTGAACAAAGCCGCAGCAGCAATTGCTTCGCTGTGGGATATTTGGAGGGGATCTCGCTAATCTCTGCGCGTTGGCTCGAATTAAACAGCACGAAAATGGAGAAGTTGTTCTGACTTAAAAAGACCCGTATTCCTGTCTCCCATCCCCGATGCCTGCAGGGCTGGCATCGGACCATCCTCAGCCACAGATCAGGCTGATTTAAATTTTTTTCTTTCTCCCCCGATAAAAAGTTTTGGAGTTGGGTTTCGGAGGGAGGCAAATCAGCCTGGGTGATTTTTACAGCACCGTTAGTGGTTGTAATCCCGGGAGGCTGATGAACGAAAGGGATCACCGAGATGCACCTCTGTTCTGGCTGCCAGGAGAGCAACAATCTTATTTTACTGCAAGGAATCGTCGCCAGCTGGTGGATGAGCCGAGGTGCCGGTGCCTCAGACACTTTGATCCTGCGTGGAGCTGAGCTCGGTGGGGCTGTGAGCGTGGCAAGGCTCCGTGTGCCGGGGTCGTGTGTGGGGAGTGCCGTGGGCCCCGGCGCTGCTCTGCGGAGGGGTCAGGGAGCTGGGGATGTGCCGAGGATTTTTGACAAAAAGCAGAAGTGTCACCGGAGGAAAAAAAAAAAAAAAAAAAGAAACAAAGCGCAGCAAGGGAAACCGTTCTCCTGTCGGCTCCCACGAGAACCTGTGCCTCGTTCTCCGGAACAGCCGTAAAATTGCAGGGAAAACAAAGGTGGTATTTTGCGATGGTGGGTGAGGGGTGGGGATTAGGTCATGCTGTGGGGGGGATCCGAGTCTGGCTGCTCTGCGAGCGGGGACTGCGAAATCCCGGCTCAGACACGCCGCGCACAATGCGAGCCGAGCGGGGAAGTTTCTGTCTCCAGCCCTCTCCGCTGCCGTGTCGGTGCTTTCCGACGCTCCGGCTGCGAGCTGGGCTTTACATTCTTTCGCGCAGTTTTATCTTCCCCTTCCCCCCCAGCCCTCCTTTTTGCCTCGTAACGGCAAGTTAGCAGCAGTTCGCTGTCATGCTGGAACTATTCCTGTCTAAGTTGTCCTCTCTTCTGAGTTCGGATCATCCTCAACACCCCCAGAATCTTTTCAATGAAAGAACGTCCTCCTCTGAATCCAAAATGGGCTCTCTCTTCCCTCCCTGTCTTCTGCCATTATCCTCACGCACCAGCTCTTCCTCTAGCTGGTGGTATTGCCAGCACCGTGGCCTAAGGCCAAGGGACTTAGACAAAGCAGTCCTTGCAGTTGCACATATCGCATTCAGAGTGATATGACTGCAAATGGCCCCCTCCTTTCTGGAGCTTAATTCTGATTTGGAGGAGGCTGCTTCTCTATTGTGCTTAAATTAAATGTCCCCCCCCAACCAGGAGGATAAATCCTAGGTCTGCTTCCAAACCTGGGGTGAAGGACCCCCCCGCCCCGTCCTGCAGAGGAGAGGAAAACAGGAAATCTGTCCCTTTTGGCCTGAAATCAGCCCTGCAGAAGCCTCTCTGTATGAATGCTGAATATTTTGGTCTCGGCCGACGGAGGGCTCTGGGCAGCTGTGGATCTCACAGGGATTTTCCTCTGGGAGGTAATGCTGCTTCCCTGCAGTGCAGGGCTTCTGGTGCAGGAGTATTTGGGAAGGCAGTGTCGACTCAGCTCCCGGAGCTGCGTCCTTGCTGCAGAGCAAACTCCTTTCAAGTTTAGGCTGAGAGCGGCCACTCTGCAAAATTCTGTTTGAACTGCACAGCAGTGAGATGAAGCAGTTGTGGCTGGGGGGTGACTGGGCTCTGTTCTTGCACGGGAGCATGTTTTGGGAATCCAATCCTGGACTGAAGTCCAGAGAGAGAGGAGCTTTGTGTGGGAGGAAATTTGGGGAGGAAGCCTCCGTGGGTTGTCGGCAGATCTGGGGATGACTGTGGGTGAGGAAAATGCAGCTGCTCCACAAGTGACTCAGGATGCTGGAAGCATCCGGGTGCTGACTCCTCTGCCTTGCACCAGGCTGAGGGAATGAGAGAGTGTTGTCACAGCAGAATTTGATGCCTGTTCCTCTTCCCGACTGCCCAGGTCAGTGCTGACACTTGGCCCAGGGTGGCTGCACTGGGCTTACAGTGTTTAGTCTGAGTTACCAGACACCTTCCTGGAGGGGCTGTGCTCGGGGAATTGGGCCCTGGCTGTAGCATCCCAGGCTGTCAGATCCAAGCTGCCTGTGCTGGGGGAGCCCCATTTCATCTCCTGCACAAGCACCTTCTCTATCTGGGCTGTAAAAGGTTGTTCTGGTAGGGACCTGCAGTGCCGTGGCTCTACCTTCACCTGACCCTGCATATCCCAGGGGAACCTTTGTCACCTTTTCTAATAACCATGGTTTGATTTGTTTCTATTTTCTTCCTTATCCTACTGAATCCTAGGAAGTGCTGCTTCCTCCTCATCTGTCTTGTGTTTCATATTGTTTGACTGTTTCTCTATAGGGGACCAGCTGCTGAGCTGAGGTGAAGTAGAGCATCTCCATTGACTTAAGTGGAATAGAGACATTTACACCAGCTGTGAACTGATCTGTAGTTTGTTTTTCCCCCTGTTTCCATGTGTTTTCTGGCTCAGTGGATATCCAGCATTCCTATTTCGTTCAGAGTATGCACAGGTCAGGGAAAAGGAGTGTGAAGATCCAGAAGCTGCAGTAGCAGAAACTACTTGGGATTTTCCTTTAGTTTTATTGTCATTCTTGCAAGAAACGTCAGGTTTTGAGACAGAAATCCTGTTTGTGTAATAAAGGCTAAAAACTGTTGTGTGTAGCATCTGGAAGCACAGATTCCAGCAGGAATCCCTGTGAGCAGGGAAGGAGCTGTGTCTTGGCTCCACAGGAGCGAGTGGTGACCTGTCCAATGGGTCCTGCTGGAGCTGGGGACCGGCAGGGCTGTGGGTGCACCTGCCCCACCTCCCAGCAACCAGCAGCTTCCTGGGAAAAGTGCAAGCTCTCCCTGAGGGGTGGAACACAAGAATTTCCCTGGCTGGGGCCATGGGTTCCAGCTGGAGAGCCCAGGGCCATTCACTCCTGAGAGACGATGGCAGCACACGAGGCCGCTCCTTGTGTCATTCCACTGCAGTGCAGGCTGGCACCAGCACGTGGCTTGCTTGTCGCCCTTTCCAGAGACAGCTTCTGTTTGATATTGTTGTCCATATTGAGAGGTTGTTTTTGGAGTGGGAGTACTGGAAAGAATAGTCTTTGTAGGCAGAACAGAGAGCAAAGTGTTCGTGCCTGAGCAGAGGGGATCATTTCTAGGAAATATACTCCCCCCCTCTCGTTCAAACTGAAATTTGCTGGATCCCTCATCTCTTGCAAGTCCATGGGAAGTTAAAAATGGTCTGAAAAGAAGCTTGCTAAACATGTTTCAGAATTAGTAATTTTCAGGTGGACTTGTTAGGGCATTTAGAAAACTGGGATTTTTGGCTCTGTCTACCTGAGTGTTTCACTTCAGAGCAACGGTGTGGTTTTCACAGTCAGCAAATCCTCCCGTGGTCCCCACCCATCCCATGCTGGTCGAGTTGCAGAGTGGTTTTGGTCCGTGCTAACTTGATTCCTTTTGGATTAAAGTGATCCAGGAGCTCTGCTCCAGTTGTGCAGTGCTGATGCTGCATCCCCTTTAATGGGGACACAAGGATCCCAACCCAAAGATTTCACAGCTTGGAACCACATCCTCCCAGTCTGGGGGAGCAGACTAAAATCTAACCTGAAGTCATACCCCCTCAGGCCAACTCCATGTGGTGTACATGTACCAAATGCTTTCATCTTTTGATCTGTTCCTTGTTGTGCCAAATAACTTGCTCGTGTGGAAACAGCTTCAGCTGGAAAAGAAGAACGATGGGGAGTCCAAGGGACCGGCTTTTGTTTTTTGATAAAAAAAGAAGACAGGGGGGTAGGAAGAGGAGACATAAACCATGACCATTATCCACGTGGAAAGATTAAATAGCACAAGAGTACTCGAGGAAAGGCCCAGAGTGTGACAGATCAAAAGAGCAAGGCCTCTGGCTGTTCTGATAAAGAATGTCCCAGTTCTCCAGAACACATTTATGTCTGCGCACTGCGCTTTTTTAAAAGGAAGGAGTTTTATTCAAAGAAAAGTCTGTTTTTTCCAGAAGGGCTGCCTAAAGTGGGTGAAAATAAAATTTTCACAGCTAGTGCTATAAGGAATGTTTTGTGCAAATGAGAACAGGGTCCATTATTTTAAATTAAAAAATTTACGAGAAGGCAGGGGAAATGGGGGCTGTGTGTTTGCACTCTGGGTTGGCAACTCCTGTTAGAATTCGGTGTGTGGCTTGGCTGTGCAGTGGATCTACTTGTGCAGACGTGTGGTGTCCACGGATGGCAAGGAGTTCTTGTTGAACTTACACCAAAGTGCGTGGAGGGCTCGGGAATCAAATATTGCTGCAGTCAGGCAGAGCACTCCAGCTGTGCTGAGATCTGCACTGCAGGCACGGCTCTGCTGGGGGAGGCTCTCACCTCTGCCCTGCTGCTCCAGGATGCCTCACAGTGTGCCCTGTCAGAGCAGGTCACGGGAACGTTTCTCGTGTGTTTTCTCGGAAAGTTGTGCGGTTTAGGACAGATCAATTTATATCCTCTCAGTTAAACTATTCCAGCCCCCACAGGGTCAGGAATCCATCAGCCGAAGCAGATGAAGTGCCCCAGGTGTGGCAGTGGCAGTGACCTCCAGCACTGGGCTATGCAGGGCTGTACAGGCCACGTATGACCACGAATGGCAACAGCCTCGGGGTTGCAAACAGCCTCAGCTTGAAGGGTCTGTGAAACACAGGGGGAAGTGCTGAGATTCCCCAGGCTGTGCCAGCTACCTCGGAGAAGCTCCAGGTACGGGTATGTCTCTTCTTCCACGCTGTCATGTTCGTGTGGGGAACGAGTCTGTGAAATGGCAGTTTGCCGCAGTTCTACAGGACCTTACAAAGCACGGGGTAGAGAAACACCATCCAGTGGGATTGGCCCTTGGCTTGTCTCAGTCAGTTCTCCATGAGTAACTCGGTGAGTTGTGTCACTGTTCCTGGTTTTCCTTTGCTCTCTGTGAAACAGGGTGGCAGCTGAGGGGTGTAGATGCATCTGATGGAAGTGGATCAGGTGAGTGTTGTCCTGGTGTTCCTGCTCCTGCTGCTTCCTTGCAGGGTGCTCAGCAAGCTGCCTTCCCAGTTATTCTTCCAGCAAGCAGCAGTAAGAGAATTAAGAATTAAAACTTGGATCAGCAAATTGATCATCATTGTTTAGGCTTGGAGATAGTAGCGAAGGAGCTGAAGGGATCCCTACAAACCTATCAGGAATTAATGACAAGATTCCTGGTCAGTGGGAGTTTAGGCAAACAAGGATTGATTTGAGATCCTTTGTCTCTCAGAGTATTAATTTGGGCTCAGAGAGAGCGCTGGAAGGGAGAGATTTGGATACCAAAATCTCATTTCTATTTGCTGTATCTCCCCTCAGTTAATAAAGAGTAATATTGATTAACAAGAAAATCACTATATTTTTGTGGGAAAAGTGCTTGTGGCAGTCTTCTGCTTGAATACAGAAATAAAAGACATTGTTGGGACAAAAATAAATGGGGATCTACAAGGTTTTGTGTACATTTAATTAGGAAAGTGGAGGGAGGAAAGTGTGTGTATTAATTTAGGTTTTAAACAACAGCAAGCACTAAGACAATTTGGGATGTGATAGAGGGTGTCAGTGAAATTCAGTACCAAGCACACTCCCTTTTCGATTCTGTCAGTTCTTAACTGTCTCCATTGTCATTTTAACGTGAGAGAGCAAACCTCGATTTAGATCCCCCCTCCTTTTTTTCTCTCCAGTGAATACCTAATCATCACACTGATTTTTGACTGGGTATTGACTGTCAGACTTCCTGGCCTAATTTTTCTTTCTAGCTATAATAGCAATATCTGGTGATTTATTTTTTTTTTTTAAGCCGAGAAATACAGGCTGTTCAGACACGCCGCTGAATTTTGGGTTAATTGAGTAGTAGTCAGCCAAGACCCAGGGCTTCTCCTCGAGATTAACATACAAAGTGACAGGTCAGAAAGCTCAGGGTCTGTTGCCCTGCGAGATACTAATACCCCCCCCCCCAATTAATTTCATTTTCGTGATTGCATCATCTTAAATTGAGGTGAAATCAAGGATTTTGCCTTTCCCCCCCTCCTCCGGCCGAGTTTGACTGGCACAACTTCTGCCACGGCCGCGCGGAGAGGCTGGCGCTGCGGCCAAGCCAAATCCTTTCCTTTGTTCTCAGGGCCTGCTGCTGCTGCTGATAAAGTGGTCGGCGCATGGCATTATGTCTTATTACATTTTTGATGCAGACTGCAAAGAAACGGGTAAACTCACCATGGTTACCACGCTCTGTCACTTGGCAGGGCACGGCGCACTCCGCGATGGCCTCTAGTGTCTGCAGCACAGCTCTGCAGCGCCGGGCACAGCCCCGGCTCCTGCGCTCTCCTTCCCGCAGGGAGACACGGCCGGCCCGGCCGCAGCTCCTCGCTCAGCCTCGGCAATTCCTGGTAGTTTTTGCCCCTCGGTGTTGTGTGACTCCCCGCTGCATTCGCGCTCCCCGTGCCGACACCAGCCTGGCGCTGTCCCGCCTTCCACAGCTGGGAAACTTCCTCGGTCAGCCCCGGATCTGGGGAACTTTCTTGCTCGGCCCCTGGATCCGCTCACGGCTTTGTCCTGGCACACCACGTTTCTAACAGGGTTTCTCTCTAACCCAGGCATACCCTGCTGTGTTATTTCCTACAGACCAAGCTCGTGCCGTTGCTTAAATGGAACCTGAAACAGTCACTAAATTAACTGGACTGTATTGTCATAAAATCATAGAATAGGCTGAGCTGGATCCATCAGGATCATTGAGTCCAAATCCTGGCCCTGCACAGACATCTGCACAGCTCAGCTGCCACCCCCTCTCACAGGCAGCAAAGGAAAACCAGGAGCAGTGACACAACTCACCCCAACAACCCCACCCTGTGCCTGAGAGCCCTGTCCAAATGTCTGAGCTTCCTGAGCTCAGCCAGCCTTGGTGCTGTGACACTGCCCCTGTTCAGTGCCAGCCACCCTCTGGGGGAAGAACCTTTTCCTGATGCCATCCATCAACGTGTTATCATTAACCAATATGGGATCCATCACTTGCTCTTTGTTTTGCCTGGCCTGCAGCTCAGCTTTGCTGGGTGAGCAGAGCACAATTCCTGTCAGTTGGAGCTCCCAGGTCTTGGATGTGACTGCTTCCAACAGCACTTTGGGAACAAGTCTTTGCAGGATGGGTCTTTTGCTTTATTGTAGGTGAGGAAAAATCGCTTAAGCCTTTCTCTGCTTAATTGAGGTAATTAAACCTTCTTACCTTGCAGCACCAGGGGCTCATTAATGTGTTTTTTTGAAGCATTTTGAAGTCCTAGGAGAAAAAAGACGCGGTTTGTTGTTGTGCCATGTTTGGGAACTGTTCAAATTCAGTCATCTGGACTTGAAATTCTGAGTTGCACGCACAGAAATCTTACACTGGTGTGTGTATTTTGAGCTGATAATGTGAAGAACTGACTGAGAGAGTAGCTGACAACTGTGCTGTTCCTTCCCAGTGCCCTGCTCTGTGGGTGTGGTGTTTAGTTTTTTGGGGCTTTTACTGTGCTCAAGCAAAATTAGCTCCATGTGAAACCTCAGCAACGAAAATGCAGGTCTGGAATTGCCATAAAATTTAGCAGCTCAGTTAAAGGCAGAGGAACCTTGCTTCTTTAAGGTGACCTAGTGACCAGCCCCATTTGCCTTTTTGGGGGGATTTCATGTCTGGTTAACAAGTAAAAATTAAGAACACACTCTTTTCTTGTAATGAAGAAAACACCCCAGTGATATCCTGTGGTAATTCTTAAATGGAAGGAGACTTCCCAGCTGAGGACAAGAGTCTATTCCATTGTGATCAGAGCTCTCTACAGAGAAACTGCCCTTTCTTTTTGTAGTGAGAGGAAAACAGGAATGAAATCACTTGCAACTTTAAAACAAAGCTAGAGATTTACATAGCACTGAGCCCCAGTGACTTTTAGCATCAGTTTAATTTAGATTTAAATGAAGGCTGGTAAATGAGATCCGTTCCTCTTATGAAAGGCAGTTGGGAATTTTCAACAGAGGAGTTTGTGAGGGGAGGGGGGGAGATTTTTCCAGACAGCAGGCAGTCTGTGTCTGTGCCTACAGGCAAAGGCAGCAGCATCCCTGGATGCAAGGGCACGGCAGCTGCAGGAGGGAAGGAGTTCAGTGCTGTGATGCTCCCTTGCTCCTGAGTGGAAGTGCAGCACAGTTGGGATATGAGCAGCATAATTAACCCCCCTAAGAAAAACCTTAAAGTTGTTTTTCAGACCCAAATTCTTCCCATGGCATGGCAAAGGGCAGGAAGTGTTAGGTTTCTGAAGCAGTTTGTCAATGAACACATGAGTCTGGTTCTGGAACTCCTGATTCAAAATTCACGAGATGTGAATAGAATGTTTTATAACTTTAGGAAAAGTAACCCAAAGTGATGTTGTTTTTCCTTTGATTTGCCTGGCTAAAAACGCTTGCTATCACACAAAGAGGAGTAATGGCAGCACTGCTCGGCTCTGATGTCACACCATGAGCAGCAGATCTGATCCCCCTCAACTGACTGTTCCCTAGGAATGGCTCTGGCACTGGCTGAAAATAGTACTGAGGGTAACTTGCTTTGACCATGTGATGACACTTTGAGTTGCAAAATTACTTTCAGATAACTTGCACCGAAAAAGTAAAAATAGCCCAGTACATCAGACTCATCTGTGTGGAATGTATATATGCAAAAATAGGGCTCCTTAATATTTACAGTTTGTCTGGGCAGAACAACCTGTCACGCTACACTCGGCTTCACTTTTAGGCAAACAGTTTGCACTGATAGTGTTGCAGGCTGTGCTGTTTCCCAGCGTGCAGCAAACCTGAGAGGGGCGTCAATTTAACCATTCTCTTCCTCGCAGTGCCACTCAGAAATGGCATTAGTGATCCCACACAAAGGTGAGAGGTCACAGCTTTAGAAACAAGTGATTAAAACGTGGCCCAGTGTAACAGACTGATTGATCTTTAGATAATAATAGATTTTGTTCTCTCTTTTCTCTCTACAGCTGGGGGTGTTCACTCTCCCTCCACGAGTATGGCAACGACTGCACAGTACAGACAGCTCCTAAATGACTATGGCCCCCCATCTCTAGGCTATACACAGGGGATGCAGGTACAGCTCTGCTTCTTTGCCTTCAGTCAGATCACTGCCCCCACGTTTGCACAGGAGCAGGGACTGTGGGCTGTAATCTGAGGTGTTCCTCCCTCCCACCAAGGGCTGAAATCAAACCCAAGTGGCAGCACTGCTTCCTCACACATGACTGGGGATCAAATTAGACTAAGCAGAGTGCTGAGGGAGGTTGTTACTAATTAACTGTTAGTCCCATCCTGTGTGAGTCACGGAGAAACATGTCTTGAATTATGTTAGTGAGGGCTCTTCACATAATTTAAAGTTTTTTGTTAAAAAATAAATATTTCTGTACAGTTTTCTTCTCGCCCTCCCTGCCCAGCTAACTTCTCCCCAAAATACACACCTCAACACTGAAAAAGGGGGTTACCAGTTGCTGTTTGTTGTGATTGTTCTGTTTTCACAGTATTTGATTGAGATTAATCTCCTTTCAACCACAGGGTACCAGCAGCAGTCAAGTCCCACAGAGCAAATATGCAGAGCTTCTAGCTATCATAGAAGAATTAGGAAAAGAGATTAGACCCACATATGCTGGGAGCAAAAGTGCGATGGAGAGGCTAAAAAGAGGTAACTTTTCAACTTATTTTAAAACAATCATCGTGCCCCCTACACTTTGTGCACTGACTGCTTGTGTGTCCGACTGCATGACAACTGTGCCCTTGGAAAGGAGACAGCCTGAGCTCCTCGTGGAACTGGGAGTAGTAACCAGCAGCTGAAACCTTGGGATGCTCTGGCTGTGCTGCATTTGATAGATAAACAGTGACAAAATGTGTTTCACGTGCACACAGAGAGTTCCAGTTAATAATTCAAACCCTACTGTAGAACCCTTAATGGATACATTCTTTCAGGCTCCTGCTGACTTACTTGTCCCTTCAATTCCCTTTTCTCCCCAGTCTCCAAAATACACAGCCAAGCATTGTTTGCTTCTTCTCACACACATCTCCCACCTGCTTGGCCCAGGAATCTCCACTGAAGTGCATTTTGCCTAAAGAAATCCAACCTTGTGGAAATTCCCAGGGGCTGGTGGAGGGAAGGTGTCAGGGAAGGCTGTTCAGACCGAGATGTCAAACATAAACCTTCTGTTACCTGCTGTCAAGTGGTTGTGGTGTCATTAAGAGTCCACTAGAAAGGGCCAGAGAAGCTTTTAGGGCTGGCTGATGAGTCTCTGTGGCTTTGCTTTGTCAGCTAAAAGGGGTCATAAATGCCCTTTCCTTGCAGTGTAAAAGAACCCCCGCGTGCCCCACTGGTGACATCAGCCTGACATTGTCCTGTGCAGGGGACAGGCAGGGATATTTCTGAAGGAGCAGTGGCACATTCCACTGCTCCAGCTCCTGAAATGACCCTGAAAGGCCCTGACAACAGTTGTGCTGCCAGTTCAGTCCTTTGCCAGCATAACAGGTTACCTTTTCCTCCCTTCCCATGGTCCTTGTGCTGAGATTGGCTCCTGCCTTTGACCCGGAATGGGAATGTTATTGGAACAGAGTAACTTCAGCACCTTGCAAATCCTTTACATTTACCCAAGACTCCAAAGCTTTATTTAAGGCTCAACCATTATGGGAGAGTAATATATCTGCCTTGACATGCAATAAAATGACTAGTAGCTGTTCTGGGAAAGGATGCAATAAAGTCTGCTGATGAGTGGGAAGTGGAATCTGGCCCAGCTAAAATCAATGTCGCTGGAGTCTCTCTTTATTGCATTGCCTGAGTCAGTATTAATAGATCATGAATGGCAATAGGCTAATGGGGACAGCTGGAGAGAGACCAGGGGAGATGCAGACCCTCTCTGAGCTGGATGGTTCAGTTTGGGGAGGAAAAGTTGTTTTGCTGCTTCTTGAAGCCAGTATCTCATTTGTTGGTTAATGTAGGTTTAAGATTCGATGCTGCCACCGTGACTTGCCTGTGTTGCAAAGAATCCCAAATAAATACTTTCTGCTGCCATCTTTTGGTCACAAACGTACCTCTCTTTCCATTTTGGGAGCCTGATGGCTGAAGGAGCATGTGCAAGTGTGAGAGCAAAAGTGACTGAGGGGAAGCACGTGACTGCTGCCTCCATGGCCAGGGAGGTTATTCCTGAATCAAGTCCCTTGTCCCCAGCTCCACCCGCTCCTACTGACCTCCAAAATTGGCCGAATTCCCAGTGTTCTACATTATTCAGAGTGGTTCTGCTGCATAAACTGGGCGTGCTGCCACCACAGGCAGGTCTGACACCCTGCTGGGAGCAGGAGCTTCTGGATCCCCCAGCTGCAGCTTGAATGCCCAGGGCAGTTGAACCTCTGCAGAGCCTGCACTCCCCAACCCCAGGGAGTCCTCCTTGGTGCAGAGGCAGTTGCTGTGAGCTGGGCTAGCAGCCTTCTAGAAACAGGAGCCATCATCTCCAGAGATGAAACCCCAGCTATTGCCTCACTGCCCTTTCTCCACCTATTTAAGGAGCATGACTGAGCAGAGAAATCACCTTCTATCTTGCCCTGTCAGCAAAATATAACCTCCTTTGTTGTAGACAAATCTGCCCATCTCTCATTTTAAAATCTATCTCAAGCTCTGTTCTCTCAGCAGCTCCCTGAACACAAATCTACATTTAGGTCCAGAATCAAGGTCCAGATTGCTGGAACTTCAAGGCAACAGGACTTGTAGCGGAAAATTCCACATTCTGTCTTTCAGATGAGAGTAGATGTAAATTGTGGTGATGATTTCCACTGGGAGCTGAGCCAATGTTAGGAGGTAACTTTTTGCACGCACCTAAAAAAAAAATCTCTTATTTTTACAAGAGACACAACTTATCTTTAAGCAGCATTATGATGGCTTGGATTTTGATGCATCCTCAAGGAGAATTATCCCAAAGCACTAAGACTTTCAGAGCTTGCTACAATGACTCCCCAAATAACTTTGTAATTTGTGTCACTCCACTGTAGCAAAATAACTCGCTAGGAGGCAAGACTTTTTTTTTTTTTTCCCTTTAAGTCTTTGATTTTAAGTAGGTCCACACTGCACATGAAGATGTACCTGTCACTGCAGACCTACAGATCTTCCTGTGCTCTGCTTTAGTCCCTTTTCAATTTACGATGCCAGGTCGGGAGGGCAAACCTGGTCAGGAGCAGCTGATGTTTGGGGCACGAGGCCTGCTCTGGTAGCCTTGGCAACTTGGGACAGAAACACATCAACCTTGCTGTGGGCTGTGTGACCTGAATGGGGTGATTTCAACCATGGTCAATTGTTTTGCAGGCATCATCCATGCCAGAGGGTTAGTTCGGGAATGCCTGGCCGAGACGGAGCGAAACGCGAGGTCTTAGCCCGCCGATTCAGCTGCGAGATCTTCCATCTCTCTTCCCGAAGAAAAAGGAACACTTATTCCTTTTGACTCTTGAAAGGTTCACACAAATTCCTTTCTTTTGAATGTTTTGCCTTTCTCATTTTGCCCTTGCAAAAATGTATAGTTAAGAATGGGCAAAAAAAAAAAACAAACAAAAAGAAAACCAACCAAGGATTTTTCAACTTACCGAGGGTTTGCATTTTGTAAAGATGTTGAAACTCCCTGAGATGTTTCTAAAACATGGAAACTGAAGTGCATGCAGAGGAATGCTCTCTCTCTCCCGGGCTATATTTCAGTTCTCTTCTTATCCAGCCACAGCCTCATTCTGTTTTTTTTTTCCTTCAGCTGTATTCACTTATCCCCAAACTGTCAATCTTTCAAAGTTTGGCAGAAGCTCTAAGGATTTTTTTAATCAATGCAGAATAGCATGCTGTACCTAGTAGTCTGCTACGTCACAATTTGTCATACAGCATAGACCCTGCTTAGAAATAACCTCCCCTTTCTCTTATTTTCCCTTTTTTTTGTTCATTTTGCATAAACATTTGCATGACTGTTAGTGCTTTGAAGTCCATTTAAAGTGCATGAGCTATATGGAAAATAGGGAAACCTATTAAATAATAACAAGGTCCTGGAAAGCTAATTCCTACATAAAGGCTGGAGATTTCAGTTTAAAGTTTGCCAAAAAAAAAAAAAAAAAAAAAAAAGGAAAATTCTGGATAAATGACTAAAACTGTTATTTGCATCTTTGTATGTATTTATTACTTGACGTAATAAAGCTTATTTTCATTAACAGTTTGTATTAAAACTACAGACAGTCACTTTAATCAATTCACGCTCCACCAACAAGAACTGTCAAGGAGATAAAAACTGAACCTTCAGGCAGGAGTTGAGGAAAGGGCAGGGGAAGGGGCTGCTTTGCTGCTGAGTTTCCATCCGTGGCACCCTTGGGATACACTGAAGTCTCTGGGAAAAGGAGCTGGAATTCTCCATCTCTGCTGTCTTCAGAATCCACACTCTGGCTTTGGGTCTTTGGTGAAAGCCAGAACTTGGTGGCAGCTGCTGAGGGTGCTGTCCCAAAATGAGAGAGAAGTTCTGGGTAAGCAGGTGGGAGTTGTTAACAGGGTAAAACCAGCAAGTTGTACCTCAGTAGTGACTTCAGAGCAGGTGAGAAAGGGAACACAACTGCATTTGAAGATGCCAACATGCCCAAATTTAACTGCAGCACAGCATCAACATAATAAATGGCTAATTCACTATTATAAAATCAAAAAAACCCCTGAATCCTAAGGAAAATGGGATGGCTAACACATACAGACCTATGGATACCTGAACAAAATACAGTGTTAAGAGGCAAACTTGAAGAAGAATTAATTAATTCACAGCTTGCATGAGCTGGACTCTGTTGCCTTGGGAGGCAGCTTCCAACACATGTTGTTCCTTATCTGTAATGACCTAATTTTACCTCTGAAACTGGAAGAAATGACTGCTCAGCCCTCACTTGAGGAGGGACCCTCCTTCCTGCACCCTGTGAAGCTGCTGTTGGAACTTCCCTCAGAGCTGAGCAGGACAGAGCACTTGTTCAGCTGACACATCTGCAGGAGGCAGCCAGTGACTGCTGTCTCTTCCATCAGCACAAGCAGTACCTAACCCTGGTTCATAAAGGATTTATGTCACTGAAGGCATTGCCTGAGTAAGGATGGGAAGTGAGAACCTTTAGTGCTGTTTTCCTCCCCTACAGGAGCTCCTACAAAGCATCCCAAGGTGGGATTTCCTTCTGGGCAGAAGAAAATCTACTGAATTTTTTTCGGCCTCCCTTAACAAGGGTGGAAAGTTTACAGTCCCTTTTTTACCAAGGATTCTTTTGTCTCCTGAACTTGGCAGAACAGCTGATCATCTGTTAGTCTGAGAGGTGTCATGACAAACACTTCCCTTACCCCACTAGGGCAGCTCAGTATTTCACGTGTTTATTTCTTATCCAACTCTTGCATCTCTTTAAAAAGCTTTTTCCTTTCCAGGTTTTCCTTTGCTCTCCTCTTTTTCTCCCGCTTCTTCTTCTCTGCTGCTTTTTTCTCTTTATAAACATCACTCTCTTCACCTTTGTAGAAGAGATCAACCTTTTCCTGCAGGATTTCTCTGGCAATCTTTCTGTTCTTCTCCAGTGACCTTGTCTGGTGACACTGAAGAAATACAACAGGACATTTTTAGTGCAACTTTAACCTGTTTATTCTTCAGCTTTCCCCCCCTCAGTCTGTACATTCCTGCCATTACAGCAAAGAAATTCCCCTCCTCCCAAAGCCAAGAGCATCCTCCTACCAACAACAGCTGGAACTTTTACATCCAGATGATATATTTTAAAAATTAGTTGCCACTGCACTTGTCAGAGTGGCTTTTGCATTAATCTTTAATGTTTTTATATCAACTTGGAAAGCTGCTCGAGCTGAACTTAACTGTGCCTTCCCCTTGTGACAGGAAGCACAGATTAATTCCAGGGTATTAATTCACAAGAAGTGGGGAAGGGAAATGCTGAAAAAGGATCTGCAGAGTGAGAGCAACTCGGTAAGGAAGAGACTCTCCCTCCCATGGGGGGCAGGAACGTGACAGCTACAATGAAGATTCATTTCCCTGAAAACTACAAGCCTGGAAATTAATTCCTGGCAAAGCCAGGCAGATCAGCTCTGAGCCCAGCTTACTTATCTGCTGACAGATTCTTCCCCAGAAACACAAACCTCTCCCTGTGGTTGTGCTTTACTCTGGAAAAGTCTTGGAAGTTTGGATGCAACTTGTGCCTAAATAAAGCAGAGCCCAGTTACCTTCACCACGATCCCAGATGGAATGTGCTTCAGGACAACACAGTTGTTGGTTTTATTTGTGGCCTGACCCCCTGGGCCGTCCCCTCTCACAAACTGCTCTTCCAGTTCTGCCTCGGAGAGTCCAAGGAGATCCCGGGAGTTCTTGGCTGCCTGGAGCACGGGAATGCTGGCCAGGGAGAGCTGCTGCTTCCTCAGAACCCACGCTGTCCATGCCGGGAATTCCCTCAGGAGGAACGGAAAATGAGAGAAAGCTGCAACGTTCATCCAGGCTTCTGCGGGATGGAACCTGGAGTGGAAGTGGAGAGAGGAGTTTACTGGGAGAATCCTTGTGTTCACATGATCCACTCTGGCTGCACATCCTAGGCGATATTTGCGTGATCAGGTTTGTTTTCAGGGATATCTGAACTGTTTTCATTGGCATTTGCCCTGGAATATTTACCATTCTGAATGGGATTTCGGTTCTTAGTGTAATTAGCTTTGTTAAAATAGTTGGGATTATGATTTTTGAAAGGGATCTGGAAAACAGCAAGGCAATAAGCACTCCTAATAAACACTTGGGAAACACTGAAGATATCAAATATTTAAAAAAGAGAGGGAAAAGGGGTTATTTCTACCTTGGAGTCTGACCTGCTGTCAAATGTCACTGCAATAATCAGTTAAAACAATACACCCTGTTAGGCTTAAAGGAGAAGAAAATACTTCAGCGTGTGAATAAATATCCAAAACAAGTTGAACATAACTTGAAATAATTAAATAATAATGAAAATCATTGAAAGTATTTTTAACCAAACTCTTACTGGCACCCACTGAAGAAGTCAGTAATTTTTTAACGAAAAATACACGCAGAAAAACCTGGAGCAAGCCTTTATTTAGCAGGTGTCACACGGCTCTGCCCGCTTCGAAAGCAGGACTGACAACTCTTCACGGACAGGGTTAGAACCCCACGTTCCCTCGGGCTGTTCCCGCCGTTCGACCCCAAAAAAGAGGAAACAAATCCCGGACAATTCACTCACCTCCGCCGGCCCCGCCGCGCCCGCGCTGCGCATGCGCACGGCGCCAGGGAGGGGCGGTGCCACAGCGCTGATTGACAGGTGAATCAGCCAATCGCAGCGCGCGGGAGGCGGGCTTTACGCGCCCCGTCCCCTTCGCCGCCAATGGGGCTCCTCGGGAAGCCGCGCGCGCCAATCTTCGCGCGGCGGCGCGCGGGCTCCGGCGCGCAGCGAATCAGCGCGGGAGGCGCGGGCCGGCGCGCGCTCGAGGCGGCCAATCAGCGCCGCGGCGCTCGGCCCGGAGCGCCCTCCGCCCTGCCCGCCGTTCGAAACTCGGCGCCGCCGATCGCCGGGCGGGCGCCGCAGGGCCCGCGCCTCCCATCGCCTCACGGCCGCGGCGACACGCGGCTGGCCGGGCGCCGCGGGCTCCCAGCGATGCGGGTAAGGAACCGGGCGGGCCTGCGGCGGGTTTGGCCCCGTCCCAGCGCCGCGTCCCGGAGCCGCCGAGCCGCCCCCGCCGCCCCGCCCCTTCGCCCGCAGAGTGGCGGGCCCGCCAGCCAATCAGAGGCGGCCTCGCTGTCAACATCGCGGAGCGCGAGGGGCGGCCGCCCAATGGGAGCGCGGGGGCGGGGCCTGGCCCGGGTCGGGGGCGCTGTGGAAGGGACCGTGAGGGGAGCGGGGGTGACCCGGGAGGGGCGCGGGGGCTCCGCGGGAGGGACGCGGCGCTTGGGAGGGCAGGGGGCCCGCCCGGGGCCGGGGAGGGGGCAAGGGCTGGAAGGAGGCGGCCCCTGGGGCGCAGACGTGTCGAGAGGGGTCTCCTCGGGGGCCGAGCCCTTGGGGCCGTTCCTGAGGACACCGCGGCGCTGCAGCCCCAGGCTCGCTGTCCCCCCGCGGGGTCCCGCAGGAGCTCCTTGGGGACGCGGGGCCTGGCGGCGAGGGGGCACCGAGGCTCCCCGGGAGCCCTGAGGGACCTGCGAGGGATCTCGAAGAAGCGGGTCTGGCCCGGGGGGCGATGCGGAACCCCCCGGGCTCGGGGGCTGTGCCCGCTCCGGCGCTTGCGGCGAAACCGGCGCTGATAATTCAGAGTTAAAAAAACCTCGCGGGTTGTTGTTGGGTTTTTTATTTTATTTTATTTTTTCCCGAGCCTGTCCCTTTCTGCAGCGCCGTGGCCGTATAAGGAGCGTGCTGTGCTGCGGGGTCGGGGGATGGCGGCTCGGCGCTCCCGCAGCCCCCTTACAGCTCGCGAAATATTTTTTTTTATTGTAACGGGGTTATGAAACGAGCCCGTGTCACAGCTAAGTCCCACCCATCGCTGTGCTGCTCAGATAGGCCGCCCGTGCTGGGGGCGACTGATCCCACATCCAGCTGCTCCACAGACACTCCCAGCATCATCAGCTTTAGCTGCCAGCTCTGATAACCTCCGAGTTTTCCAGGCTTCTGACCGCTAGAAAAAGAAGAAAGGCTCTTTTTTATTTATTTCTTCTTCTTCTGTATCCCAAGAAGCTCTGCCAAAGGGATATGTGTGTCTCTGGTAACTCCCTTCCCAGAGGAGACGGTGTGAGTGAGTACCCAAAAAAAACCACATTTCTGCTGAGCCAAACAGGCTCCAAGAAAACAGGGGAAAATCAGACAGCTCTCCATCAGCTTCCTTCTGGTGGGAGTATTTTAAATTTCCAAAACTATCTGTTAGAGAGATGTCTCTGTGCACTTAAAAATGAGGAGAACGTGAGTCTGTAAAACCCATCAGTCTTTGTGAGGCCTGTGAAGAGGAAGGGTTGTGCTTTAGAGGTGTTGTGCTCCTTTAAGGCAGCAGGAATTTATTCTTGGCATTATCACAGGATATTTCCTCATGTCTCTTTTCACTCTCCATCCGTGAAATGATCATAAGGTTTTTCTTCAGGGTTAGAACAAGAGCTGAATTCACCAGGGTGGAGAACGTGCTGAAATAAGCACTATATAAGGACTGATTAATTAATCCATTTCGAGTGTTTTCTTAGTGAAAATAAAAGAATCTTTTAGTCTCTCTACAGCCACCCTGCTTTGAGAGCTGTAAGACTACGAGTGTTGTGTGTTTATTTATTTATGGTGCTTTCAGTTAACCAGCTGCTGGTTTGAACTGCTGTGGGACTCCTGTCTGACTGCTTTTTTTTTTGTTGTTTTATTCATCTCCGAGAGATGCAACTCGCAACAGTTTCAAAGCTTTCTGCATTAATGTTATATAATAACAACGAAGAAAGGCAGATATTGGACACAGAAAGGGCAAAGCTGGTCAAGTGCAGTTTGTTTAACTCCCTGTGTTTGTAGTTTTTGGGTGGGTGTGTTTCTCCCAGCGAAGCTGCAGATGCTCAGTCACATTTGAAAGGTGTTCTCACAGAAAGCTTGAAAATGCTCTGGGGAGCTTCAGATTAAAATAAAAAACAACCAAGCAAACCCCAGCAAGGTTGTTTTTACCTGGACCATTCTGCACTGCCAGCCTTTGCAGTGCATTCCAGAGCTGTGCTGAACAATTGGGAATGTCTTTGACCTGCAGGAGTCCCAACAGGCACCAAGTGAAATGAGGAGCTCCTGTGTGCAGATGCAGCCCAGGAGAAGGGAGAGGGGCTGCTTGTGGAATATTTGCACTTTCTGGGGTGTGTTTTAACCAAAACAACCGTCTCTTTAATTCTGTGCCTTCAAACAAAAAAGTCAGATGGTTTTTTTAAGGTAACAAGTTGATTCTTATTTCTGTCTGTTCTCAGGGTAAGATTGGGATCAAGATATGGAAAACTGGGATGTGGTGAATCCTGTACAGGAAATCCCTTCATCTTCTGCTGACTCTGATGTCAGAAACACCCCCAGCTCTGTCTGTAACTCGAACTGTAACAGGTAATGTGCTGAAGGAATTCCCAACAAATATTTTTATTATTTTGGGTTTGCTTAGTTCGAATGTTTTTACAGTAATATTGTTATTAAGGTGAAATAATGTGTAACATTGCAATGTATTTCAGGGTTCTTTTAACTTTCTTTTTAGAGGAAAGCCTTACTGAAAGAACTGTGAGCTCTTCCTTAAATTCTTAGTTAAATTCCATTGCCTCATGTCTCTTGGAATGGGGGAGGAGGGAGGGAACCCGTCCTGGCCAAACTGTAAGAGATCATTTTTTGGGAAGCTCCTGCCTTGTGTGAAGTCATTTTTGGAGAGCAGCAGCTTAGGAAAACTGAGTTGTTTAATGCCTGAGGTATTCCCAGGGAATAAGAAATGCAAGAATGGCCTGATGGCCCAAGTGACAGGTGCTTCTTGACTGCCCTGTTGAGACAAATCACTCCTGCCCACGTCACTCCTGCAAGAGGCCTCAGTCCTGCACTTCCCAAACCACTCTTTGTTGGTGTTTATCTGTTTAGCAATATCTGTGCTGATTATCCTGCCTCTCTCCTTGGAAAGCTGCTGCATTTTCCCAGTGTGTGGGATGAGAGTGAATTCCTCGACACTGGCTTGAAGAACCCCCTCCTGAATGTATCGTTTTTATTCCAAGATGCTGAGAGTCTCAGGGTGTAAATTAAGAGGATCACTCCTTTCCTGGCTGCCCAGCATATGCAGTGTGTTGTTTTGGCCACTGTGTTGCACAAGTGGCACGATAAATAATGGAGCTGTTTTTTCTCCTGTTTCATCAGAAGTCCTTCCTCCAATCCCAATGGAGTTTCTGGTTACTCAGGGAATTCCAGGCCCTCATTAAAGCCTGGCTCTGTTGAGCTCTTTGCCTCCTTTATGCAAGACATCCAGGACATCGGGAATGCTGACACGGAAATTGTGAAGACCTGTGAGGTAACTGATCTTCAGCTTTATTTTGAAGAAAGTTGCATTTAATGGATTTTCTTTGCATTTTGGAAGACAATCTAAGGATGTAGTATGTGGGTTTCTATACACATATATGTGTTTATTCTTCTTGATGAGGCAGATCCATTTACACGTGTGAACGAATCACCTGGCTGGACTTCATTGCAATTTTCAGCTTTTGAACTGAAAAATTTAAACCTTTGAAACTGTAGCACTTCAAGCTGAAGTGATCCTAGGAAAAAGAGTTTTTCTTTCTAAAAATGGTTCTGTTTTGCTTGATTTATTTACACGTTCCATTTGTAAAGATGTGGAGGTGATGAGTTTGCTTCCAGATTTAAAGCAGCACGAGAACAATGATGGAGTTTGGATGAACTAATTCTCCCCAACGCTTTTCCCAATGTTTTTTGCCCTTTTTATTTTATAGATCATCAATATTTTTAGTCATCATAAGGAGCATTAGTTTGCCACACCACGGGCTTGTTCCTGCAGGATTTTGGAGCTTTCTGGCTGTGATCCATCACAGAGTCTCCTGACAGATGCTTAATTTAGGTTCTCTCTAACACCTCCAGGAACAGAATATTGATGTGTGTGTCCTGTGCTTCCAGCACCAGGCTCCATAAACATTGGCATCAAATACTGTTTCAACACCACATTTTGTCATGTTTTAGGAAGATATACATCTGATTTTTTTTAAATAATTTTTTTTATTATTATTTTCATTGCATATTTGTGCATCATGGCCTTTAGCTGGATCGCTGCAGATATTCTTAGTGAAGTGAACGGTTCCCTGGACAGAGGGATGTTTAATTCTCGATTTTAAAACTGCCTTTAATTAATTGAATTAATTAATTGATCCGGATCAGCCTCTCCAAAATCTGCCTGGGGCTTTCCTGCCAGCTGTTTCTTCTTTCAGTGTGCCCTGAGTGACACGTGGGGGGCTGCAGGGATGGGGGGGGGGGGCAAACCACGGGGCTGTTACTCAGCTTTGCATTAAATAGAGGATTCCAAAGCTATTTGTAACTGCAGGAAGAGCTTAAGAGATGCAATATGACTGTATTTTTAATTGTTTTACTCTCTGATTTAATAGACAAGGTGGCTGCAGCTGCTGAGACTGGTGGAAAAACAATGTCAGCAGCAAATAGTTGCCCAGCAGGAGCAGTTCCACCATCAGATCCAGGTAAGTGATGATTTCAGTAATGGTTTGGCCACGCAGGTAGATGAGGCTGAAATGTTTCTTTCCTCCCTCCAA